CGTGCTTTACCGAGTTGAGAAGAATCTCGAACTTTAGTAAAAGACTCGACGCTCTCGACGACCTCCGACTGATCTGTGGATCCTGCGACGAGCGCGAGGAGGCGGAGACGCAGCTGAACACCGAGGCAAGCCTGCAGCCGTGGGTCGAGGACGCTCTCGTGAAGCTGCACGCGCGAAAAACGTGTCGATGAACTCAAACTACACTCCGTGGACGCTCGAGGAGGACCGCCTACTGCTGCACTCGTACCAGAGCGGCGCGAAGATCACTGACATTCGCGTGAGTAGCCGATCCGCCGAAGCAATCAAGCTCCAGCTACGCCGACTTCAGAACGTCACGCCACTGGTACGCGACGCGCACCACAAGAGCCGCTGCGACCCGGAGGCGCCATATCAGGACCTGCAGAACGACATCTGGACGCCGATCGACTCGACCCTCGCTCTACCGCCGTGCGCGCAGATCGACTGGATTCGCGGCGTCGCAAAGGTGCCTCCCTTACCCTGTTCGCCTGCACGCGTGCGTGATCATTCGGCTAACTCCAACGACTAGTGAAGCCATACCCTCCCAAATTCGCATCTCCTCCGTCATTCATCACCCAATCATATCAGACCCCACCGTCCCCGAGATTTCTTCAGCTTACGTCACTGGCCTCGCGACCGACGGCAGCGCCGAGCTAGACCCAGACGGCCTCCCAACATACTCCTCCGCTACTGACACTATCTCTCTCTTCGCCATCCCGCCCCACCTCACTCAAACGGCGCGCTGCGCTGACAGTCCTGAGCCTACACGCCTACACACCACGCGCACACGTATTGCAGTCTCGTTATCAGCACTAAATCACTGTCGCTATCTTAGGAACGTAGCAGCAACCACACCTCCACTTCTGCCGATCTCTCTCGCGTACTTCCTCCATGCCTTCACCATCGCTTATCCCGATACTTCTCTCCACCTGCCACCCTCCCCACCGCCACCGCCCTTGCCGCCGCCCTCTCCGCCCCCCCCAACACCGACGTCACGATCTCCGCCATCCCCGAGCCCTCCTCTTGCGAGCCCGCCACCATCGTCACCGCTGCCCTCGCCGCAGACGCCCTCGCCACCACCGTCGCACACCCACCCTCTTCGCCGCCGCAGTCACTGTCGTCTCCCTCTCTGCCGCCCCTCTCAACACCGCCTATACCGCCTCCTCCATCGCCGCCGCTGACCACGCCGCCGCCGTCTTCATCTCCGCCGTTGCCGCTCCCCCCCCCCCCCACCCAGGAACAAATATGATCTGATTCACTAAAGTGCGACTAGCGTCATCACATGCTTTTATGGATTAAAATAGACGCCATAAATACGTACCGATTCAATCCAAGTCATTTCGCATGCATTAAGACGGA